ACTCGCTTTGCTTACTCCCTAATTAGAAATGTTTACCCTTTCTTTTCAATGCTTTTTTGGTCGATTTTAGATAGTCAATCAACTCTAATTCAAAACATTTAAGTCTCTTATTATCAAAAAAGAGTAACTTTTTAGATTGTTTATTTTTTAAGTTTGTATTTGAAACAACAAATATCAAAACATTTAAAAATTTTCCGTGTAAGTTTTTATGTACAGAGGAGAATCTTCAGTAATGTATTCAGTTGATTAGTAGAGCAGGAGAAAATGCTCTTAGGTTCATTTATTTACAGTTTTATGATTATTTTATTATAAAATTTATTTTCTTATTTTCTAAATTATTAATATATGTCATGTTCAGAAAGTAGACTATTAAAATTTCTCTTATTAAGAATAATTTTAAAATCAATTTTATAATGTTCATATTATCGTATAAAAAATGAATTTTGTTTTACATGAAATTTTAACTTTTTTTCCATATAAAATTATTGTATAGAAGCTGTAATATCTTTTATTTTTACATTGAAAATCAAGGATAACTCCAAATATAAAGCGTTGAAAATTTGCATGTTTTAAGCATCGAACCACGTTAATTGAACTATTTAACGAAAACTTTACCCGAATAAAATTTTAATTGTTTCTTAATGACGATAAAATTAAATAAAACAAAAATATAGAGTCGAAAACTATTTATTAAATAGATCAAGTTCTATTTACAGTAGATAATTAAGTTTTGAAGGAGAAGCAACATTCGAAGTGGCATTTTGAAGATTTTTCCAACTATTCAAGAAGTTCAGAAATCTAAAAAAGAATAATAACAGTTATATTTTAAGTTTTTCCCGAGATATACAGTATTTTCTTAAATGTTGTAATTCATTTATTACCTTTGGTTTAAACGACAGGGAAAACACCATGTGCGGGATAGTAAGCGTATGGAAAAGCAGCATGATGTGAGTGAACAGCGTAGCGGTAGACGGGATTATGGACTTTTCCTGTTGCAGAACTGGAAAGTTGTCCCGTTGTAAAGTCGTGATAATTTCCGAAAACATCCTTAACACCTCCGATTGCAGAAGCAATAGCCAATACGGCGGCAAAGAATACGAAAATGCACTAAAATAATACATAAAGTTAACTTATGATTTTAAAAAAATGACGGTTAAGAAAGAAGAGAAATCTTTACTTACCAACTTGTTCATTTTGGTAGGGAATGCTTCGTGGTTGTTCCAGTCAGCTGTTGATGATGGTTCTTGTGCTCTTCCTTATATATATATCGATAACGGAAGGGCGTGTATCAACATATCTTATTTGACAATTTACTCTTCAACCCTTTATGGAAAGTTCAAGGTTTACAATATACGTCATCTCGGCCTTTCCATTCATTGGCCTAAATTATACGATCTTTTCGAATAATGATAATGAAAGGTGGGGTCGACAAACTTTTAAACAGGAATTCTCGTTTTTTTTTTTTCAAAAATTGCCGCGAGAGATAAGTATTAATGAGTTGTTTGAAACGAAAAGTTTTTCGAATTTTTGAAAATTTATGATTTACTTTTATTGTAATTATTAATTTTGTACATTTCTATAATAGAATATTATAGATTTGCATTCGTATGTTACAAATACTTTTATCTTTTCACATAAAAATTTATATAAAATTTGTTAATATTTTATATAATTTTTCTTATAATTATAAAAAATTAATTTTTTTCAATATGATAGTTTTAATAAATATGTATTTTATATATTAAAAAAGTAAACATAANAAGGTAACATTCCAATAGACAATATGCAAAGCTTTTTTTTCAGTTTACAGCAGTATTTATTACACAAAATTTAAGTAAAGCTTAACATGCCGATCTTGCCCCGATCTCCCCTAAATGAAATTCAAATCAGATATGGAAAGTTTAGGGTATGAGACTCAGATTAACTATAAAAGAACGTTCGATTTGTATCGGAAGTCGCGTTATTTCAATTCAAAAATTTTCCTAAAGACAGAGTTAGAGAGATGACGGCATGACTCTATTGTTAACAGGATATATATGAAGTAAAGGAGCAAAACTACTAAAATCAAAGCCTATATTTTTTAAATTATATGTCTCTAATTTATCATTGGAAGATTTTGAAGCTGGAAGTTATTTTTCATTTCAATTTAACATTGACAAAATCGAAGTAATTGTTTTCAGAAAAGATAAAAAATTGCATCAAATTATAAATATTTTGGTTTTCAGTAATTACCTCTTATCTTAAATGATGTCAGAATACTTATAACAAGTGATGTATCTTGGTCCATATTTCCTAAAATTAAAGTAACTTCAGCCTACAGATTTTTTAAACTCTTCTTTCTGATCTTTTCTCTCGGTTTTGCAATTTCCGACTTTCCATTCATATTTATTTGGGATTTACTGTCATTCCCACATCTCCTTATCTCTCCTCTACTGTTGTCCTCTGTCTTATAGAGAGCATTTCACGTTTCCGAATAGCTACAATGCAATGAACACGAATTTCTTTCTAAAGTTTGATTAATTTAGAATTTCTTTCTAAATTAATCAAACTTTAGAAGAAATTACTTTATATATTTATTCGTATACTATTAAACATTGTAACTTCTTAAAATAAATTAATATTTATTCTAACAAGTGCTAGATATTTAATAATTCAAGCGAAGCATCGTTTATACGTTTCACATTTCTACTTGGTTCCCGAAACATTCCCGTTTCTTTCAATGGTGAAACAGTTCATTTTTACCTCTAAATTCATTTTCAGAGTTTCATTTAGGGGAGATTGGGGCAACTTCGGCATGCGGGGCAAGTTTGTCAAGCGCTTTTTTTAAAAAACAAATTAAAAGGAGACTTTGGTTATAGGTTAGGCAGTTGAGTTTTATTGGTGGCTTGTTGAGTGTAGTGTTTTTATTGTTCTCCAACAAGCGTAGTTGAATTATCAAGCAAATTTTCATTTTCGTTCAATTCCATATAATATTTTTTTTCCATTTATATTGAATTGGCAGGTTTTGTTATAATTCCATGATAACGAAAGTTACTTTTCCTGTTAGAAGGATGTAACTTCAACTTATTCACGTGGCCAGATCGTGGCTTGGCATTCTGTTCTCAGGGTTGTACTTAATGTTTCGAAATCATGACTAGCGGGGTAAGATCGGCAACATAAAGCCACATTAGAAGCAAAGGATAAAAATCAAACAGATGATAAATGAAAACATGTTTGCATTTGTTATTCATGTATATATGTCTTTGAACTTGCATTTCGTTGTAATAATATTAAATGGGTGTTGGATTTGTATTTCTTTGTTTTAATAGTGAATTCCAACTTATACATTGTTAATAACATAATTTTATATACGTGCCTATCTTGCCCCATTACTGTTGCCCCTATACCAGGGGCAACTTTAATAAAAATAATTAAAATAATTACAACTTTACAAAAAGAGAGAAGTTGCCGATCTTGCCCCTATACCCGGGGCAACTTCGTCAATTTCTCTCTTCTTGTAAAGTTGTAATTATTTTAATTATTTTTATTTCCAAACTGATTTTAACCAGTTCTATAGTAAGGTAACATTCCAATAGACAATATGCAAAGCTTTTTTTAAGCGTTTACAGCGTTTAAAGCGTTTACAGCAGTATTTATTACACAAAATTTAAGTAAAGCTTAACATGCCGATCTTGCCCCGATCTCCCCTATACGTGGTTTCCTTTCTGATTTTATTTTTTTCATTTTACTTTTCTCTCAAAACTTCCAACCGTTCTTAATGGACATTTTAATTAAAATTAAAAAGAATCGTTACCATTACCATTTGAATCTTGAATGGACAAAATCACTTCGAACTTTGTTGCTGTTAATCAGGTTCGTGAATTATGTCTGTTCGATCACTGACCAATGCAACTTCAAAAGAAAGCAATAAAAAGATATTACTATATTTAATAATATAGCATAAAAGCTAAAAACCGAAACATTCGTTAAAAATTGTAATAAGGTACTGTACAATGAAACCTGTCCAAAACGGACTCTCTACAAAACGAAAACCTACCCAAATGGAAAATAAATCTCGCAGTGGTACTATTTGCTATGTAAAATACTATTATAAGCAAGAAACCTGTAAACGTGAACGATTTTTAGTTACCAAGTGCATAACATAATCTAAATAGAACGAAACTTTTCAGCATTATTTCTCAAATTCTAAATCATAGTTAATGCTGTAGTTTGCCAGGTCAAATCACCAAATCACGGCCAATTTCGTGATATGAGTTTACAATCTATTTATTTTTTTGTTAATATTGTGTACTGTGTATTTTCATTGTCTAGATGCCACAGTTATTTTCTAGAGTCTAGAAAATAACTGTGGCAATACAATAACATAGTTTCTACCTACTGTAACTCCTTACAAAAGTTAACTCGTTCCCGTAGAGTAACGAATATTTAAAAATACGGATTTATTTTTGAAGGGAAAAAGTCACATGCTGAAAATGTAAAAAATAATTATTAAAATTAAAATTAATTTAATATATTCCCATTTTCTGTAAATGAAAGCTATCAAACGAGTAAGACGAAACGTTTCAGCATGAAATTCTTTACATCTGTGTTAGATAAAAGTAGCAACCAATGCTATCACGGCCAAATTCTTAAACTAGCCAATTAAATATAGCATTATTGATATGTGAAACAACGAAAACTAACTTCTAAAAGCAATTATTCTTATGTAAGGGTACTTTTTAATTAAAAAAAATTATGTTACTAAACTTGACGGTAGTAACATATAATTTACTATTAAATTAAGTGCTAATAAATGGTACTGTATATTTTAGGGATTAGGGTAATTAAAACATGTATTTTCTAGGTAATTCAAACAGACTTTTTCCTTTCTGTCCATTACTTACGCCGATGTTTTTAACGTCTTTGAAATATAATAGCCTAACACGTTGGAGAAATAGTTCTAAATACGAGTTGTAGCATTTTTTCAATTTTTCTGAAAACGTAGCCCTGTATAAAATGGAAATTTGCCATAACGAAAAGTCAGGTCAGTACCATCGCGTTCCGTTTTGGACGCATTTTACTGTACCATGAGCAGGGCCTAATTTGGCATAAAGCAGGCAAGGCACTTGCCCGGGGCCCGTAATAGGTTCTAAACGTCCATTGTTTTATTAGTATTGCGAATTACTATGTTATTAGCGCCATATTCAAGGGTTAATAATTAAAGAATGACATTACCTACTGCTCCGTCATCTAACAACATCACTGAGAATTAGATAATGTTTGTATATGCACATTAGATCTGTTTGGTGAAGTTCAGAATAAAGCAGTGTTTGTTGAGAAAAATATAATGTTTATTGCTGCATAATTTTATTGTAGCCCCAAAAATACAATGTAAGTAAGATATTCAAATGTAAAAATAAAAATACTTTAATTTTAAATAATACAATTTTATTTATATTTGTAGTAATACAAAATTTGTAAGGGGGCCCATATATATTATTTTGCCTAGGGCCCGCGAAGGTCTAAATTAGGCCCTGCCCATGAGCTGGTCGTAAGAAACAGTTGGTTCCATCATCTTGACTTAAATTTATTTTATACATCTTTTTGATTTAGTCGTTCGAGAGACATGCTTGCGAGAGGAAAAAACAGTGCTTTACAATTAATAACTTCCTTTATTTAAACAACTTTAAAAAATGGAAAGTCATTTTGAAATTTTATGGTTATGTAAGATATAGCCTATATAAAAAGAAATTCTCATTCGGGCAGTTGAATATTTGCATTGCTTTGAACATCCGCAAATTAACATCCTTGCAATGACGTCAAGTGAAAATACGTGACGAGGAAATACGTCATCGATAGTCGAAGACGTGTTTCCTCACCTAGACATCTTATCTCATCATGCATTATATGCAGTTAGATCATTATAGAAACATAATTTTTAATTAATATTAATACAATTCTTATTATTTTCTTTACCACTCAAACTGTTCTATATTAATTAACTCAAGCACAATCTGCTTTATTTTGTGTTCTTAAATGTGTTGAAAATGTAACAGGGGATCCTTTCTGGTTACGCTATTGTATACGAATATATTCAGTGACATAAAT